CGTGGTTTTTGTATTAGACCCGTCGTCCATTTATTTGTAAGTCAATGTTTAGAGCGTATAATTCTTTGAGGTTCTAAACCGGCAAAGTACGTAATCCATTTCTCTCCGTTGCTTTAATGTTTTAAATCTAGATTGAAAAAAGTGTCCAACAACGCCAACTGGCCACTAAGCGTCATCGTCGGTAATTGCGAGAAAAAAAGAAATTGTCTGTGCCCTTACTTTGGTTGCGCTTAATTATGGAATATACCATTACACACAGAAAAAAAGAAAAAGACGGTTAAATAAAGTGATGTGCTTTGGTGTTCTCTTAGAATAATAACGCATAGAAAGATAGTTTCATATCAAACGAACTGTCACAAGTGAGGCAAAAATCAAATTCATTTAGGCTAGTTTTAGTAGTAGGTTAATTTTCGGTTTTAGTGAATATTTATATAAAAATACAAGTTGAAACGCGTTACTTCCTTGTGGAATGTGATGTTAGTATCTATTTTATGTTTGTCTGACGTATTTTTACACTCATTTACCGCACATTTCGTCATTTTTAGCTGAAATTCTGGAGCTGTTCGCGGTGCAAGTTGATCTTGAGCACTGAAGGCCCGCCCGCTCGTGTAAGCCCATTGGAAGCGCTTCAATTTGCCTCACTTAGCATGTGCGGACTAGGTTTCTATGCGTTATTTATTCTAAGGGTGTTCTTTTATATATTTTCTATAAGTTTATTCATAAATTTTCATACAGTGTTATACTGTATTATGCAGGTAAGAAAGTTTACAAATAGAAAACTTCCTCAAGGGCCAGACTCGGCTGCTTTGGCCACACAGCCTGCACCGCCCACGCTTGCAAGGACATGGCAGGAGACTACAATGTCCACACAGGTTGCGCCCCCTCTCTAGCTTCATATTTTACTCTTTAAGCGTAATATTGCGCAAGCTTAGAATATAATTTGTGCACCCTTTCTTAGTTATAAAGGTATAACCATTGATTGTCATAATTATTATACTTAATTTTAGTGATTATGTTTTTTGTGCCTACTCAAATTTCACAATATATTACTACTATTAATTTGGAAAACAAACTTTTTCTTTCAGCAATTGTCCATGCTATTTATTACTTTCAATATAAATAGTTTTTGTTCTTTTTCTACTATAATATTGTACATTTTCTTAATTATTTATTGGCCATTTTTCAGAAAAGCACTGTATATTCCTCGGCGGGAAGGAGGGTTGCCCGACTCGTACGTATATACACAAGGCCTCACTGCCATAATTATAATCAATAATGTACCATAACATGCAATTATTGAATCGTATCGAATTCGATCAAGCCACTACGTTCAAAGAGATTATGAGCCCATGTCTGCTTACAAAAACCGCCCTTTTCACGGTCAAGCAAACCTGTAGTAACTAGTCTATTGATATACAACTCTTAAAGAATAAATGCGATTATGTATCACGTAATAAGGTACAAATTTAAATAACACAAAGTTACAATAAAAAAAATCTTTAATAATACTCTTACATCTCGTTTTGTATCTAAATACAATATTTACAACCTTATCTACTTAATTTAAAGTTTAGTTTACTTAAAGTAATGTCACAATATTAATTTTGTCACTGTTACCTATCTTACCGTTTCCTATATTTTGTTAAAACTGTGACACTTTTGTCTCCTTTGTGCATTCCACTTCATGATAAAATAAAGTTTTTAAATATATAAAGCGGAATGTGTTTGAAAATAAACCTTTGGCTATAGTGTATTTTTGAATAAGGAATAATGAACTTGCTTTTGCTGGGTTGTTATTTTTGGTAAAATAAAAATAGTGTGAGTCACTTAGTAATATTAATTTTAAATTAAGAATTTGGTAAAATATAGAATAAAGCATATATTTGTCACATTTGTTTCTGACGGATTCTGTTTTAATTGAGAATGGAATCGAGCACATCACTATAGAATAAACATGGCAACAATATTTTTCCAAATGACATTAGTAGCTGTTTTTTTTTCCATCCTCTAACTTAATTTGCCATCTCTTATAAAAAAAAATCGACTATAAAATTTCTCTTATTACACACCGACAGAAAGAATATAAAAAAATCTCGTGAAAGGTCAACAATGTCTTTTTATCAGTTAAATAAATAAAAAAAGGGTTCTACACATTTTGTCCTACATTTTTTTTTCGTTATTTGCTAAGTGAAAAACCAGAAAGTATGTTATTTATAGTCATATTTACATGAATGAAAAAATAAAAAATGTTGCTATAAAGTAGACAATAATGTCACAATGGTGACAAACTTTGACATCACCAGTAATCAACATTGGCAGTTATCGAAGGCAGTGCCCGTAGCTGATGTGAGTATTTGATAAAATAAGGATACAAAAAAGCTTCAGGTTACTACTTATAAGAATTAATAAATAACCGTCCCAAAGGTACACAATATGTTTTACAATAAAAATTTAAAAAAGTTCCGATACGAAATAGTCTACTCCAAAATGTTAATAAAGTTTCACCACCATGATATTCATTTTTTTTGTCAAATTTTTCCACTACTTTGTTACAATTATTAAACAAAGATTGAGTAATTAGAAAAAAATCCTTTGACCCGGCTGGATTCGAAGCAACGTCTTCTAGCAAACCGTGCCAGACGCCATGCCAAGCCTCGGAACAAACTAGAGGACCTTATTTTTTCAATGTGCTTGTTGCTAATCCTTGATTTTGGTTTTTAAAGACTTTTTTGCCGTAACGCTATCTGAGAAATCTATTTCTTCACTCAGCCAAGTTTTCTGTTATTAGCAGAAAAAAAATTTAGATGCCAATATTTCGAAATTACCGAATTTTGAATGCATTGAATGCATTAGTTATGACCTTTGACCGGAATTGAGTGAGATAATTTAACTAAAGAATAACTTGGACATTCCTTTCTCCAAACTCGGGACTTCTCGGAACTGATTATTTGAATATGCGTATTATTTATTGATATTTGGATATATTGGCGAAAAATTATTATTTTCTATTAAGTATTTGCTAGAAAGTATTGTTTGAAAAATAATATTGTAGTTGTATTTCTGAATAATTAATTACGTATGAGTAATTACGTAACTAAATACTTTAGCCATTTAAAAAATAAACACGAGAGAACCTACATTTTGAAATGTTCAGAAAATAAACAGTAATAATCTCAGTACACAGTACTAAAAAAACCGACCTCAAAAGTTATTACACAAATTAGTAGCCGGAGTTATCGCGTAACATGCATCCAAAAAAACGTAGTCGAATTGGGAACCTTCTCCTTTTTTTAAAGTCGGTTAAAAAAATAATTTTTATGCGCATTAATGACGAAATGTGTATGTCTATACTAAGAAAACGTTCATACTTTAAATACATCCCTTAATTCTGATCATTGGTTACGACAATGAGGGAAGTATGTTATTTCAGTTAGCAGACATAGGTTTTTTTTTTAATTTTCAGGAAAAATCTATGTAAGATTATGTTTTGTTTGTAATTTTTTTATTACATTATATTATGAGCCTTTGGGAGAGTAAAGCGATCTAAGGCATAATTTAAAATACGTAATTATTCAAATATACGTTCACCAAACTTGTTGTTTTACTTTGCATTGAATCACATACTAAGTTGCTGTTTTATATAAAGCCAATAAATACTAACATTTTCATTTATAAAAATAAAAAAGTTCTTAGTGTATTGGTGGATGTTGTAAAATTATTTTTGTTGAGTAGCAGTCATATACATACATACAAAAAAAAACATTCTGTTCAAGTTTGCTTCATAATGTTGTAGAGAATTTACAAGCATACTAACTTGATATTGATACCACACACTCAATTAAGTAGTGACTAAATTAAATAAAGAACTTTTCAAGAAATGAAAAAAGAACATACGTAGCATATATGTTATTTTTTGTTAAATACGTTAAAATTTTTAAATTTACTTTGTCAGTTACTTGGAAATGTCACTTTTCGAATTATGTCATTTTATCATTGAGTGTGCGATATCTTTTAAACTACAGCAATGAGAACTCTGTATCATTTAAAATAAAAACTATTTCTTTTCGTTGTAATGGTAGCCACATAAGAACGGCACCTGAATTTTTTAACCAAGCAAACATGAACAGAAAAGTGTTATATTTCTATATAGAATCATTTCTTATCGTCTAGCCGGCGCTTGAGTGTGGTGACCGCAACCTTCCACGTTTTCTGGCCAATCACAGACGTTCTCGTTAGGGTTGAACACGAGATTTGAAGGGCAAGGCATGTGATGTTTCCTTTCTCCTTCACACATGTAGTACATGGTGCAATCTGCCTTGTCCTTGTGGTAGGAAATATGTCCGTCCTCTTCTTCGCATGTCACCTCAGTCGCTGAAAAAATATTCTATTGTTAGACGGCTGACAAAACTGTCACTATCACACTTTATAATTTTCTGACTATAATTAAACGGATGAATTAAATTTTTTTTTTCAATATTACTTGAAATCATACTGAAGTATTTTATATTTGGACCATACTCGTATTTTCTTGCATAAAAATGTTATAATAAAAATTTGTTTTGTACTATTCCTTATATCATCTATTTATTATTTGGATGTTATTTCCAGGTATAAAAAATGTATTCAATTTTTTTAAACATAAGTTGACAAGTCCCGTGCCTGTAATTTCACGAGCACCCTTACTTTTCAAAACCGGAACGCAATAATGCTCACAAACTGTTTGGCGGCAGAAATTGGTACGGTGGCAGTACTTCCTTTGACGAACTCTTTTACATAAAGCTCTACCGATACTTTGATAACAACAGGCGCACGAATTCTTCGTCCAAATACTTGATGTCTTAAGAAAACTATGACCCGAGGTCGATTGGTCCCTTTTGGACACATAAATGCGAGATATGGTGAGATATAGAAAAGTAAAGTTGAAAAAGCAACTTACGGTCTTTAGTGGTGTACTGGCCATTGGGATTGGAAGATTCGTAAGGTCCGTCGTAATCCAGCTTGACCTTGTAACCGCTGAGTTCTTGCTTCATCGCGGTGATCAGAGGATACTTCCCAGTGCCACAGGATCCTCGGAAGTCGTCCATGTCGATTGACCAGACCATTATACCGCCGAATCCTTCTTCTTTGAGCCATGCCATCTAAAATAAGAGGATATATTTATTCCAGAACAGTAACTCCTCCAGCACTGGTGGCCCAGTGAAAGAACACTATACCTGAGGGGTCAATGATTTTATTTATAAGTTACATTTTGTAGCAAAACCGTTCGCTAATTGTAAAGGAAAACATCGTTCTGAAAACACCAAGTCGAAGAAAGTTCACTATCCTTCAAAATAGGAACGCAGTAATGTTCACATTACTATTTGACGGCAGAATTAGATAAGGTGGCAGTATTTCCCTTGACGAACTCTTTCACAAGAAGCATCTACTGCTACTGGTAACAACGCACCGGGTACCACACGAGCAATCGTTGTCGCAACGCAACGCCGCTTACTTGCGCAACGCAGCACCCCTCCCCGCTTCGTCTCGTGGCCCCTTGTCCGATATGATAGTACAGCGAAGCGTCACCGTTCAGGCGTCGCAACGCCCACGCTATGTATGGCCTTATACAGAGTGGCGGTGGACAAGTGGAAAGTCATTGACACGAGCCGAGACTCGGGTCAATGACTTTATTTATAAGTTACATTTTGTAGCAAAACCGTTCGCTAATTGTAAAGGAAAACATCGTTCTGAAAGCAACAAGTCGAAGAAAATTCACTATCCTTGGAATACGGGGAAAGTTCCCAACAGCCTGACAGACTATGGCCTTTTTTATACACAGGAAAATGCTATAAGCATATCCCGCAGAGGATTTATGAGGGGATATGAGGAACTCTGCTTCGTTGACCCACCCGGCGATGCAAGCTCGCCTGACAGATCCACGAAGGCCTACCCACTAAAAACCTGTGTATACACCTTTACCCACAGGCTCGTGGAATCCCGTTAAGACTGATCACTCACCCCGCAGGTTGTCCCCTTCTGCGGCGGCCTCCTCACGTTATGGGAGATACCTGAGTGCATTTCGGTACCTCCCCGAACGGGGAACATTGTGCCCTGGTCCAGCTGAAGGGGGAAGGAGAAGATTGTGACGTCTTCGCCGACCCCCCAACCTTCTGTGCCGGATTTGGCCCGCATGGACGTCCTCCTCTCTCGTTCTTTCTGCGGTCTCCTCGCAAAAGGAGACCATAGCATCCCATGCACTCTTACTTACTAGCACGGCTTGCGTCACGTTGGTCAGCGAGAGATCACTACCGATGACGCTCGTCAGTTTGCTGCGGGTATGAGACTATACCGGACACTCTTGCAGCCTATGATCTGCCAGACTGTCTAATAAAACTAATGACCTTGTGACGATGCGGCCTCGTTCATCGTAATCCCACCTTTTGTCCCCTATTTTGTGGTTCCTGGCCACTTTCTTTTGAAATTTCGCATTTGGAGCTATTTTCTAATTCCTTTTCTTCGTCATTCTTACTCTGCTTCGTTCTGTCATCACTTTCATTAACATTTTCGAAGAGAAAGGAATCATGTAAACCTTACGAAACATTAACTGCTCATAAAGCATCGAATATTTATACGAATACCGGTCCTTTTGGGGTAACTTCACTTTGTGTTATGTTTAATCTGTAGAGAGTATTTTTATACCATTGTACCTGTTTTTAAATCAGCGTATTTTTATTACAGCCTTTCTTTTTGGTCTTTTAACCTCTTCTTATAATAAATTTTATGTGGATCGAGCTTTGTCTTCAATTTCGTCAAGGCTAAGCGACAGCCTATTAAACCTGTTGCTCGGCATAGGCCTTCTCTCATAATAACAGGGCTTAGACTACCCAATGCTGACAGGGAACTTTACGATGTTTTCCTTCACTTAAAAGCTCATAGTAAATTTCAAATTAAATTTCCCACATAAGTCAGAAGTACAAGCCCGGATTCGAACCCACGATCCTCTGCTTGACAGGCAGTAGGTTAAATAATTAGGCCACTGCTTCTTGTGGTGTCTATACTAAGCAACTAAACCTGTATTACCTTACATACATCTCAGTTATGTATTGACAGATCGATGACAAGATTTTGTACATTTGGCATTCTGCTAAAAGTTGTTGCCAGTGGCTAACCATCGAGCTACTACTCATCTGTCATTGCAATTTTTTGCTATTCTGCTCTTCAATGGCGTATTGACGTCACTAATGTTTTATAATTTGAAGACTAAATTGCTGATTAAACGAGATTAAAAATAAGAGATGCCTAGTAATTTACATGATAGTTTTAGTAAGGCAACATCGAGATATCTGATCAAGAGAAAGATCTGAGGGGCACTGCCACTGCGTCAGACACCCTGAGACAGGTGGATAAGTCACATGTGCCTCTTAATTCCACCAGCCTTATACCCTACAAAACTGGGACGCAGTAATGCAATAATTCTAAATAAAATAATTCTATCACAAGAAGCTCCATTGCTACTAAAAATCTTTATCGACTGTAATAAATATGTCACATGGAGGTTTATCACATATTGCATGCGATATACTGCCATACTACGCATGTTGTACGGTTTCTCGTTTCTTAAAGACTTCACAAGCTTTCATCTACCCTATAGATGTATGGGATACTTTCCATTTTGTAGCCTCTTTCTAGACTCAATGACCAGTGGTTTCAGGAAAATTAGCAGAATTGGACCCCTGGTCCTCACCTCTTCAGGTTAATATTTAATAGTTAATAATAGGTGTTGAGTAGCAGGGACTATCTTGCATCTAATTGCTCCTTTTGAAGGTCACAATAGATGGGAACGAAAAATTCTGGCCGAAAGAACCAGAATCTTCTTATCGTAAGTTCGATAGGTAAGCTGAACTAGTGAGGTTTGTGTTCTCTTGACTTAGAGAAACAAAATATACGTTACCTTAGTTTTCAGCGATCTTTCATCATCGAAACCGACCCACTGGTCGCCTCTGTACGCAAAAGGCACCATCTGCTCATTATCCCATACAAGAGTCGTATTATCTTCACGAAGGAACTCGCAGATTTCGTAGTACGAGAGGAAGCCAGCTTCATTGGTGTAGCGGCCGGCTTTGCCTAGAAAAAGAAATATAATTAAACTACAAAGAGAATCCAGTGATGTAGCCTGTTTAATTATCCATGAGAAACATACAGAAGAGCAAACCTTCCTAATTTGAAAACGTGGGTTTTATGGTTTGTTTTCATAGGTCTTATATTTTGATAGGTATTAATTATATTTAATTCAAATTGTGGGTCAAGACATATTTTGTAGTGTATGTGGAGAGGTTTATGTGTAGGCCTATAAGCTCCATCAGCTCATCCCGCCCGCCCGCTGTTACCATTGGACATCCAGATGTATATTGACTGAAGACTTTTGTCTTAAGTCACTGTGGTATTTAGGTCAAAAATATATGACGTAATTTCCCGAATATAATATCCCAAGTACAAGTTAGAGATAGATAATATTTACTATAAATCCACTTACCACCCTCCGAAGCGGGAGCGCCGATATCGAATTGAGTTTCGTTGATAAGAGTGAATGATCTGCCGTAAGTTGGCATACCGATCATCAGCTTTTCTTTCGGAGCTCCTTGTCGTACCCATTCACGGGCTGAGTAATCCTGTTTAAAACAAATATTCAAGTGTAAAAATGACTTTAGTTGTTCTAATTACAATAAACAACCAATATTGAAATTCTTGACTTCTAACCGAAGTTACAGATTATATTTTTATTTTAACCGCTCGCGCGATTCATGCGTCTCTGGAAGCATACCACACCTAGAGGTACCGGTGATAATTTTATACCGATTTATCGGATCTCGAAGTTATAACAGGTAAAAGAACTAATACTAATTGCTATTTCGGTAACTACTCTAGCAAACCATAAAATTTTTAATGCCTGGGTCTGTCATTTAATAAAAATTATCAACTTCAAAAATACGTCACGACAATCGTGTGTGTTATTATTTGGGCTGGTGATGTCGGTGTTTATTTATTGAAAACATACCGTAAGTTGCGTTTTTTAAGTTTACCCTGAATATAAATGTTTATAAACTATACTTTAAGGAGTAATTTCATGGTAAACATTAGAACCACTTAAACGGAATATTATCATATTTACCCAAGTACACCAAAAATTTCATTAGTGCTTTTTAAGTGCAGGATTTGCGGTGTATTACTGCATTTTATTTGAGATGTTTTTGTTGTAGTACGGAGGGTATTTATTTAGCAATGCAGAATAATAATTTTTATTTTTTAAAACTTGTATTTAAACTGAATCCTTTTCTAATTTGCGAAACCAAATAGCCGCCATTTTGCGGTAAGATGAGCACATCGCGTGAATAAATGTAAATTTAGACAATATCACATACGTTGCTAAGATCCCAAAGTAAGGAACTAAAGTACTTTTATTATGGAAATCGGAAACAACGACGGTAACACAAACAATCAGACCCAAGACATTATACTAATACCAAAACACAATGTGTCAAGTATAAAGCTTCATCGGCATCACGCGTAGTTTCATTTGGTCGAGTATTTTACTATAAACAATTTTATCATACAAAGAACGGGAGTAGACCACCCTCAGTGATGGTGACACCTTGAAAATCGGTGTGAATCAAGTCGTAAACAAACCCTTTTCCCCGTAAAACTTGCTATGGAAGTAATAGCTTTATAAGAGAGCTTGTGCCTTATATTAACAAATTAAGCAGGTGAGTCACCGGTGGAAAAGCCGGGAAAACTGTATTGCTAGATCAGCAGGCGAATTTTAATTCAAATAGGAATCGATCCGATCGGGTAGCCCATCCGAGTCTCGAAATCAAATGGGTTTCCGAGCGAGAAGATGAACCTGATTCCTATTATATCTTTCTAATTTGTGAGTTAAATCAACTATCGTTCCGATTTGAAATGTCAAAAGTTTCCGATCACCCAGTTGACCACAGAGGTCGAAATTTTAAGGTGAAATGGTATCGTGGTTGCGTAGGCTTTGAAACGTGGGAGGTAGATGCGAAAATCTTTGCACGATATTTTATTTATATTATTTGCTTTTTAGAAATAAGATATGCTTACTATCGTACTGAAAAATAAAGTAGCTCTCCTCAGAAGCGAATAATGGGTAACAGGTGTGAGATATACATACCACAGTAAGTTTCTTCTGGTAGCTTGTGGCGCTCTCAAGAGGGAACAGAGGGCTGTTGTGACCGACCTGTCGCTCCCATTGTCCATGGAAGTCATACGTCATCACGTTTATGAAGTCCTATAATACAAAAGGATTATTAACAATGAAATCAATGTGAAGAAGGTTCTAGAATCTGTCACTAGATGTCACTAGCGGCACAGAATGCCGTAAAATCCAGTGCAAAGGTCTTTTAACAAAAACATATAGGAGAATTTCGACAACTCGATAGCTTAACCCATAGCTCAGTCGGTGAGAGTAATACAGTATGGTCGTGGGTTCAAGTCCCATCGGGTCGAAGAAAACTTTTCTATGTAAGAAATTAAACTATTTTTCCGGATTTAAATCGCGTATATTTGTTTTTTCAAACAAACCGACGTTACGGGCCCTTTACAGGTCTATGTGTTTTTTTTAATGTGTTCGATCTTTATATTAGTAATCATAATGAAATAAAGACTACAAATTAAAATTAAAAAAGCTATCAATTAACAGTCGCTCAACTACTTAAATGAATAAAGCAAAGAAAGATACACAATCTGACAGTTCCGATTAAAGATCAATTTACATTGCCGCATAATTGAAAGGAAGTCAAGTTTCGCAATCATAGCAGAATGAACTTTATGATAAATTGTGTAACGTGTAAAGTATCTAGATACGAGCAAAAAAAAAAACAGTTCACGCATCTTGCGAAGAATTGTCGCGCAGTCTCGGACGTTTCCACAGCTCCTGTATTGTACCTAGTTTGTACGTAACGCAATAGACATAAAGTTCATTATGATATGTACAATCTTGTTACAAAACTTCGCTTCCATTCCGTTCCGCGACACTGTAAAGTGAGTCCCAAAATTGTCCTTTCATACCATTGACTTACAAATAAATGGACGACGGGTCTAATACAAAAACCACGAAAAGAATGTCCCAAGTCAACCTATTCGAAATTTAAATTGTAATGTCATCGCAGTATCGCGCTGTCAGTAGAACAAATGAAGACTAAAGCGGAGTGTCGCGCTCTGTATACGATTTTAGCGCCTTACAAGTGCGGACACTTTTTAGCGCGGACCCGACGTCCATATAATTGTAAGTCAATGTTTCATACGTATTTACTATTTACGTATTTAGTTTGTACGTTACACATAAAGTTCATTATGCTATGTACAAACTTGTTAGAAAACTTCCCTTCCATTCCCTTCTGCATCACTGTAAACTAAGCCTAAAATTATCATTCTAATACAGAAATATTTAAGACCTGTTTTCGTTGATCACACCTAAGGACTTACCAAGTACTTGGAGATTTCAGGTACATCGTATCCAGCAGCGATGGCCTCAAAGGAAGCAGGGACAGCGGCGGTAAGCAGCAGACGAGGCTGACCAGATGTTTTGGCTTCGCCTTCAAATGCCAGACGGAGTTCTTTGAGGAGAGATACAAAGGCTGCACGATCGTCGGCACCTCTGTAAAGAAACAGCGTATTGTAAATCATAGTTTAATGGTACAGTATGTAAATCTAATTCAATATAATCCGAAGAAAAAAATAACGTATTAAATAAACTATGGACGAGTAACTCAAGAGGTCTGCTAATAGCGATGTAAGACAGCGTAGTCGGGTGTTTAGTTCCTATTGGTATATCAGAAATCGTGACGAGTACCAAGTAGCTATTTTTGTACTTAATTTGTTTTACATTGACAAGCTGCAATTTATCAAAGCTACTGTAAAATCTAGTGATAACAAACAAATCAACTAGATGGCGTTTATTGCACAGATTTTTATGGACAGTGCCGGCTATTATTTTATTTTGTTTGTGATTAGCGCCATCTACCCATATTAGCAAGCGTTAATTTATAAATTAGTTTGTAACACACAGTGCCATCTGTTGACACGCATATTTGTCAAAGTTCAGAAAATAATTTTAGCTCATGATCAATATTTTGATAATATTAAGAAAAAAAAACTAACTTGTACTTCATGTTAAAGAAGAATTAATTCATATTGACGGCCATTATTGATCTTCGCCAACTGAATATTAGACGGAATTTTGACTTTTTTCACAGTTACGGCCTGCAGTATGGAGATTAACAGAACTCTTGGGTTATTGGTCCATGAAATTTTTGCTGGACATGTTTCTAACCAGACCGTGATCCAGTCTTCGTCGTCAATCCAATTTCCGTCGAGTCACCCGCGCGGTAGCTCATGAATAAGGACCATGGACTGATCCGAAACATGTCGAGCAAAAATTCGACTTAAATACATGATTTATCCATTAGTTTAGTATCTGTCTAAGTTTTCGAACAACAACAGTTAGTGCTTCGAACAACATTACTAGCTAGAGCTTGTGAGACCATAAGATATGGTGAAAGTAACCGTTTTTCATTTTAGATACATTTGAAGCTATAGACTTAGATAGATGAGAAACCAGGCAGGCAGGTGTCGAACGACGGCTCATCCGGGTAATTTTCAGACCACCATCTCTAACTCTTCCGATTCCCGAAGTTAGGATTTCCGGGACTCGCAGGTCGCAATGCAAAATGCAAACGAACGATCCCTTCGGAATATTATGATCACTCCTACCTGTTTCAATGATAAAACTCGAGTGGTAATATTTCGCATCGTTAGTGTAATAAGAACACATCTACAAAATGACAACTTTTCAGGGAAGACCTTTAAAGATACTACGAACGAAATTGGTCAATAAATGGACTTTTGACCATGCTTGTGGCTTTATTCTACCAAGGGTAAGTTTTGAGCTTTCATTATCGTCATCGACCCATTTATCTCTCAAGCGAGGGTTCAGGCTATAATGCGCCACGCTGGCCCAATGTGGGTTGGGACCTTCACACGTTTTCTGATGGTTGTGAATTGTCTTTGACGTGTAGGTTGCATCGTTATGTTTTACTTCACAGAAATAGTAAATTTCAAATCACATTTCGCAACAAATTACTACGAGCCCTGATTCGAACTCGCCTCCATTGCTTGAGACGCGGTGTATCAAATCATAAGGCTACTACGGCCATTTTTATGGGATTTGAGCTTAACTTGTAAATAATACTAAACCATAACTTATAATCTACGAGTTTCTAGTAGATGCTGGCTCCAGATTGAAGTAATTGTCGCTTTTCGGTAAAGAAGATGCTTGTAAAAGTGATATAATAACTTTACATACCTAGGATATTCCCAGTCGACATCTAAACCATTAAACTGGTAATCCCTGAGGAACTCAATGGCTTCGTACACGAACTGGTTCATACGGAACACATTAGAGGTAAGCTCTTTGAATGGAGTAGAACCGAACGCCCAGCCACCAATAGCGAGTAGGACCTGAAACAGATTTTTATATACTCATATTTACCTACGTATTACGCAAGTAGCAAGTCCACCCCAAGTACAGAATCAATGGGTCGTATTTAACCTCTGGCCCAGCGTACTATAATGGGAAAAACGATAAAAGCCCAAGCATGAGTTTTGTATGAAAAACGTATTTTTTTTAGATACTCTAATATCATATTAAATAATAAAGTGCTACATTTGAATGCGATATGTTCATTACGATCTACACTGGGCGTTTATGTGATCATAAGAATAATATTCTCTAGATCTGAATCACCTTTTGTATTATGTATATTTTGATGTACACGAGAACTTAGAAGGTTAAGAAATATCACTCAAATGTCACTGTTATTGTTTACATTATTACATTGAGAGTTGTCAAAATAATATTAACAAAACATCAGCTTAAGATCGCGTTATAAGTCTTAGTCAATCAAGTGCATGGTCATGGTCAGTTGAGATGGTATCGATCATTCTCGGACTAGTTTCAATAAAAATAGTCCAAGAATGGCCTGTATCATCCAAAATACCGATGGTTATAGTCCATTAATACAGAAGAGTCTGGACATGCGTGCGAATTGAATTACATCCCAGAGTATAATATCATTGTAAGCAATATCGAACTTAAGAGCTATTTATTAATACGGACTAGATCGATTAGGGAGTATCACATTAACATTTACTTTTTGGTTATGCTATTGTAGGACTTAGAAACAAGCTTTTAGAAACAGCGTAATTAAAAAACTGTATTTAAAATCAAATATGGTCGTAATACCGTACATTTACTATTACTTTGTTGCAGTTATTTCGTATTTGACAATTGTTTTGAACTAATTTAAGTTATTTTTTTAGAAATTGCTTCAGACAGCTTGAATTAGCTTCAAACAAAGAATCACTATTTTAAGTTGTGAATTTGAACTCTTATGTTAACGACATAGGTAAAATAAAATGTTTTCAACAAAGAATTTCGACTGATAAATTTTGGAATCAAATCTTACCTTCAAATTAGGGTTCTTCTCTCTCAAAGCGACAACTTTATCATACATATCAGAATCCTTTTCATCACCTTCAGCCAGCTTATGATCTTTCAAAGTGGCGAAGGCAAAAATGACGTGGGTGCAGAGGCTTGGGTCAATATTTTCGGGTAGGAAACGGCCCGCGCTAGGTCGTTTGGACGACCAGGATGTCAAGTAGCAGAGAACTTGAGGTTCTCGTTCTGTAAGGAAATATTTTAGTTAATTGTTTTTGCATCATATCATGTCATGACATGACATTAATAAAGGATTAAATTTGAGAAAGTGGAATGTAATTTAATGTCCATTTCAGTATTATTTCCAACAAAGCAATAAAAACTATGTAAAAGTTTAAATACATGAAACAATCAACATCTACTACGAACATTTCTTTCCAATCGCACAAAAAGCAAGCTTTTTCATAGTCAATGTTCATTAATACTTAATTGACCAAAATTTATGAAGTATCTGATTTGTTTTCGTATTTTTAGAGGTTCTTTATATATTTATAGTCTTTGATTGGTTTCACGTGCTAATACTTAAAATAGTTTCAGATTTTTATTTTACTTTATATATTTAGGGTTTTTAGTTTTTACTACCAACTAGTTATATATTTACTCCAGCCCAGTTTTAGGTACGTTACTTAACACTAGAATAATATCTTTATTAATTTCATGTTCATCAATCATTCAGGCACTCTGCTCTGCAAAATTATTAGCAAATTTCAATTTCTGCGCATACTAATATACCTACACTGTGATCAAATTAGAAGTTGTCAATCGCTCTCAACTAATTGAAATCTCAGTTGGTTCAATCGAGACTAAAAGTAGCAATCAATCAAAATGAATCTAAAATCAAAGGGTCTTTCTTTTACATACTTTAAATCAATTTCAAATTCACCAAAGCTCGAGGCACTTTGTCACTGGAAAAAGTTGGGAAAATTCCGAAGAGTGATTTAGAAAATCACTGTGTATAACCCTTGGACGCGGAAAGTTTTTTCTCTAAAAATAAATTATTTATAAAACCCCTCACTCTAAAAGAACATAAAACTTGGAAAAGTTCTTGTACAGATTGTCACAGAACGTCATAACCTTGATGGCATTAAATCACAAAACCCATTTTCCATGCCACTTTCCACTATAAATTGACCTCTAACTCCGCCATCTATCTCTGAAATATGAACGTTACTTTTGAGGCTCAGAGTATAATGGTCGACAAAGTACTTAAACGTGAAAGCACTCGATGTTTCAAACTTTTAGCAACTATGTGTCGCGAAACGTAGAGTTTTCTAAGTCGTTCGTGGCGTTTGAGAACAACGGAGTGCCTAAGAGTGACCCTTGTGGCACTCCAGTTTAAGATTTGTTGCTTTCAGTGTCGTATACATTCTTTCACGATTGTTTCAGGCGAGTTGAGACATGTTATATAGGAGTATCTACTTGAGCATATTGTTTTGTTGACAACTTATGTTTCGATCGCTGCTGCCTTGGTGTATTGCTTATTATAACTTTATAGAAAGCTTTCTTTCGTACTTTTTATTATTTTGTTTTGTTTTGGATTTTAGTAACCTATGACTTTAATTTGTAAGTTAAGCACATTTAGAAACGTTTATAGTAGCAATACATCATGAATTAAACCACATGTCGAAGAAGGTTTAGAATCCTTATAAAACGTGTGAAGATGCCAAATATGCATTGATAGTGTGTGGCGAAATATGGCCTAAAATAACGTCTCAGAGGAGACCCGTGGTATAATGATCATGACGGTGATATGTGAAAAGGGTACAAATTGCTTCTTCATTTTGCGCATACCCTGAAAACAATGGACTTTAGTAAAAGCAAGTAAGCATGATGCGGTACATCCATTACTTAAAATTGTTGCTGCAATCGTAATACTTAATAAACAAGTTACATAACCTTACGACGCCGTCGTACGAAGTTCAATATTGGGAAGGCATAGATATAGAATTACTACGTCTGTGGCCCAACGGTCACCATGCTGGACTGCCACGCATGTTTCCGGGTTTTGTATGGCCTACATTTATTTCTCTCGTGACTTTAGGTGTAATTTGTTCTTGTCTATGTGCGTGTCTATGACACCCGCGTTAGAGGGTTTCCCTAATGCGGGGCTATGAGTGTGTGCGTTATTGTTATTATTCTAGACCGTAAGCAGAGGACATCAAAACAGTCAAAGCTAGGAGAACCTTTCAGCTCTTTAACACTCTTGGTCTTGGTTCCGAATTGTGATTAACGGTGATCAGCTTACATCATTAATGGTCGCAGTGATGACGGGCTGCATAAGCCTTGAATTAAACCACCCTAATAAAAACCTTAAACAATATCTTATTTATTTCAATAACGTTTCTTTTGCAGTGTTTCAACGGCGTTGGATTGTGATCCCATGGACATAGACAGACAGGAAATACTAAAGTTAGGATGAGCATTGCAATAAAACATGCTGAAATATGCATCTTCATATCTAGCGTGGAAAAGGAAAACATATTTGAGACTCTTACGCTTCGTGAGGCTTAGGATATCGTTCCGTTGTTACGGCTCAGACACGCCCGCGTTTTATTTTCTTTATCCCTATCCGTACGAATGTTCTGGATACGTTTTACCTGAATTGTAACTTCCATTTAGATTTTTTCTAAAAAACGTTAGTTCAAGAGTGTTTTTTCTGAGTGTTCGATCTTTGTATTAATAATTATAACAAACTAGTGGAGTAATTTCACAAAAAATAATTGAATATCAATTCAATAAAAATTTAATTAATACAGTGAATAGCGACATCTCCCGCCAGGACTGGTAGCTGTAAAGGTAATAACTGGGTGATAAATCTGTCATAGATTTCTCATAGATGGCGTTACGACTAAAAAGTCGCTGAAAGACCAAGTACAAAGACACGACGCAAGCACATAGAAAAATTCGTGAGGCTAAGCCACGGAACGAAACAACGGATGTTTCGTTCCGTGGCTTAGTTAATATAGCGTCTGGCACGGTATGCAAGAAGACGTCGGTTCGAATCCGACCGGATCGAAGGAATTTTTTCTGAGTGTTCGATCTTTGTATTAATAATTATAACGTTAGTTTAGTTGTGTAGATATAATACGATTTTAGTGCGTTGCCTTTATTTCACAACAGTGTTTTGTGGAAGAGTCAAATATTTTCCTCGTTAATTTTAGCATCAATTTACGTTTTCAGATTGTGTTTTAGGAGTTTACTTCATTCTTTCTTTCATTAACCTTTTTCAAGGTAATTCAACCCTTATAAGGAACACTAACACATATCCAGGAATTCGTTCTTTTGTTGAATCCAGTAGCTTCTTAGTTAAGTAGTACATGATACGCACGCACACACCTGTGTGGATGAGTTCATTAGTCAATCGCACGTTTAAATTTTAAGAGTACCCTACAGTCGCAATTGCGATTTAAAATATGTAGTAGAAAAATAACTCCTAACAACATAGCAATTAGTATTATATTTAAGAGTTGTGATACGATAAGACGATGTACGATAAAACCTAAAAGGCCAGTTACATCGCTTTAGTTCTGTAACCTGTTTGTATAATAAAATAAACTAAATAAAAATAAGCTTTCATAGATACGTTACAACCATCAAACATCATCATCTAAAGCCGGGTCCAGACATGTATCATTTGCCCGATCCTATCACCGTATCCGATCACCGTATCCGTTTCTGTGTATTGTATCAAGGCCCGTATCAAGTTGTGGACGCCTCCGATTTGCTCCGTATCCGTATCTTCACAATAGTCATGATCGCGTATCAAATTGCCCAGTTCAGTTTCTGCTCTCGATCAAACATGTCGTCGCAGTTGGTTGAAATGTAGGAGAATATAGCAATTTCATGTGCAACCGACCGAGCGTCGCGAGTGACGCGTCCAGACTGACCCACGTCCGTATCTGTATCACCTTTGATGATCGGACAAAAACCGACACGACATGGGACGGGCCGTATCATAACGGCGTATCGAGATCGCGTATCATTACGCGTCGACGATACGGATACGGTGATCGGATCGGGCAAATGATACATGTCTGGACCCGGCTTTAGAGTAATTACCTACAGCGACATTTAGCAGCGATGCAAGCGGGCGTTCGTAAAACTCGCTATTGCGTCGCTAAACTTGCGATTTGTAGGAGATTCCAAAGCTGCAATCGCCTATAAATCCCAAGTGTAGCGATGCAATCGCGCATTTGTATCGATGCAGTCGCGCGCTTGCATCGCGTTTGCATCGCTGCATAAAATCGCACACGTGTGTAATGATACACGATTAGCGCTCTTATTTTAACTTTAATCAGAAGTAATTGCGGCAAGAGTTCGATTAGTTTTGAGGGAATGCGAATCTTTAATAAGAAACTCCACTAGTTTGTTATTATTATTAATACAAAGATCGAACACTTGAAAAAAATCTCTCTATCCGGCCAGATTCGAACCGACGTCTCCCAGCAAACCGTGCCAGATGTTATGCCAACTAAGCCACGGAACGAACCAGCAGACCTCACGAATTTTTGTATGTTGTTGTTTTCGGATCTTTGTATTTGGTTTACAACGCTTTTTAGCCGTAGCGTCATCTATGAGAAATTTATGAAAGTATATCGTCACCCAGTAAGGTACCTTTACAGCTATCAGCCCTGGCAAGATATGTCGCTATTAACTGCAATTAAATTTTTATTGAATATCAGAATATTTCACCGCCATGATATTCAATTATTTTTTCTGTAATTATTCCACAAGATCGAACATTAAGAAAATGTATGCTTATACAAACAAAAATGTTGACATTTTAGTTATGTTTCATTGTGTAACTTGTATTATAACTTGGTTTGGAATATTGTTGATTTACTGTTTACTTTTTAGTTCTTATGTCAGTGCCATATTCGTATTCATTTATTTGCATTTGACACGGATGATACAGATTACACTTACTACTATATTTGGTACATACATAAGGGCGTCACAAAGTTGCACTTACAATTTAAATACATTGCAACCTTGAACATACTTAATGACATGCGAATGAAGTATCTATCTTTGAATCTACATCACACTGATTAGTGTTTTTAAATTCATTTTTTGATTATCATCATGTGCAACCCGTTACAATCCACTGTTTAATCCAGTGTGGTCCCCTTTAAGAAGAGAGTAAAAGTCATAGTCCGCCAAGTTAGGGTTAGAGACGTTACAAA